TCTGTTTTTAATAGATATACTATGGTTTTTGAGTTGCAATGGTGAAAAACATGGGACGGTTTTTTATATATCCGTGTCAGTGTAAATTAATTGTACCTGATGATGACAAAACCTTGTCGAAACGTTGTACATTTGCTGTTATGTTAAACTTATATTAAAGTTTTTCTTCATTACCCATTCAAGCCGTCTCCAGCCATTATTAAATACATAATCAGATAACACAGACGGACATGGTCCTGAGAAGGAAAGTTGCAACTGCAACAAACAGACATCCAATCCAAACCAGCTTACCAAAACCACAAAATAGTTTTCATCAAACAACAACAGTACAGGAAGGAGGAAGAGGTCTTCTTAGTACCTGATCTTCCAAGGTCTTCAACACTTAAATTCCGATGATGATGATGGCGACGGGCTCGTTTAAAGGGTTAGCTCACAGCTGAATCCAGATTGTGGATTTTGCATGAGTGGTGAAAGACCTTTATCAGAGAGAGAGAGAGAGAACTTCTCGTAGACTTTACCACGTTCGTAGTTCATGAACCACATGTAGTGATTAACTCTTTCACGAGTACTCCATCTCACAGTTAGTCGATTTTGTAGCTTTGTGCTTAATATCAAACAAGCGAACAAACGAATCTTGCAATAGGATCAACTATCCCAGATTGCATTTGTCACCCACGTCATTTTCTAGATGGTCACTGTATAAAGAAACTACAACGAAACAGAAAAATAAACGTTATAAATAGAAACTTCACAAACAAAAACAAATCCTGGAGCTATAACACCAGAATTTCTCTCTTACTACATTTTATTTTCTCGGTATTCACCGGTACATTTATTTTCTTGTATATAAGAATAGCGCCTACCATATGTAACTAGAGGCTCACAGAATATGCACTTTGAAATTAAATCTCAGTTTCCTACACGACTAAAGAGAATGAACAGAAGGTGTCAGCGAAATGTAAATGACACTTTATTTACCGAACACACAAGTAAAAGATTATTAAAACAGGACGTGTGTAAAAGAGGACGGACAGAATTTCATTCTTTATCAAGTTAATAATTAAAACGTAAACAGTGTGAAGAAATCAAGTACTATATATTTCTTACAATAGCCCTCCCCCATCCAAATTGGGTTAACGGTAAGTCTGTAGGCTTATAACGTTAAAAACCTGGTTTCGATACCTATGATGGGCACCTCACAGTTAGTCGATTTTGTAGCTTTGTGCTTAATATCAAACAAGCGAACAAACGAATCTTACAATAGGATCAACTATCGCAGATTGCATTTGTCACCCACGTCATTTTTTAAACTCCTTTAAATAAAAGTAGCTTCTTGTTGTTCCTAAATCTCTACAGGGCAGATGTGACTATAGAACACACTGGTACAAGTCTAAGTAATTCTTCAGACATTTGTGGTATACTTCAGAAATATCAAAATGAGAATTACCCCTGTCTAGCTTAAAACTAAGATCACAACATTTTATTTATAGCTTATTGTTTGTACATTAATTTTAATATATACGTACGTCAAACGCGAGTAAGTGCAAAAAAGTTTTATTGGGTAATATATTTCCACTTCGCTTTTTTTTAACTAAAAGGAAAACAAGCAACTGGTATATTTCATATACTACAGCCGCAAAGTATAAATAGTAGTGAAGACTATGAACATATTAGGTCAAAATAGCACCCTACGAACCTTGTTTATTTAGTTTACATATAATAGATGTCGGTTGATTTGTATTTCATTAACCAGAGGGCTTTTAATAAAAGGATTGTTCCACCTGTGTGATTATTACTTTCTTTTTGGAAGTTTCATGGCAATCCTTTTTGTTTCTCTTTCACGTTTTCGGCTTGTTTTGTGTCATAAATTAGGCCCGATTGAGAGTAGCCAAGTGGTTAGCGTGTTGGACTGGAGATCCGAAAGTTTCGGATTCGAAACGTGGTGCTACCAAACAAGGTTCTTATTTTCAGTGGGTGTGTTATAAGAGTGACAATTAATCCCTGTATTCGGGTAAGAGCAGCCTCAACAGGCGGCGGATGCTGCTGGCTAGTTGCTTTCTTTCTGGCCTGTTTTTCAATATTCGGGACGGCTAACGTCTGAGCTACAGGGGTATTTGATCTCAACTGGGTGAATGGTTCACCCAGGGGTTAATTAGATCAGAATCAGGGTAAATGAGTATTATCAATTATACAAAAAATTCAAAAGTGAAAAGTCAGTTATTATTATTTATTCTAGTTGTATTTTGATGTATATTTAAGTCATGATAAAGAATTTTATATTTTAATTCAGCACTTTTTTGTCTTTTTTTCGTAGCTGGGGTGAGTGAACTGTCCTGAAAAACTTATAGGGCTAAATGATATTGAAAAAGGTTGAGAAGCACTGAGCTAGATAACGGGTTTATTTAACAAATTTGTAGTGTGTGTGTGTGTGTGTGTTAGCCCCTGTATATTGATTTTACCGGCTTCGCGAAACTGCTATGCTGTACAGTTAGCTTTTATATTTTAAAGTAGATGTCAAGCGTTTAAAATTTGTTTCAGCAAATTATTAATATACAAAAGCAAGATGGAATCCTCATTAGCTGCGGCACTTGAATTTCTTTTACGCAGGATTAGAGTAAATTAATCTGTGATATCTTTTTTTTATTAGCTATATTATGGTGCACCATCAATTCCAATCGTGGGGCGCGCGTATACCCGATTCAATTTTATTACTCATCAGGGTTTCTACCAACCTACCCTCAAATTAAAATTCATTTAGGCAGGAGTAGAGTGAGTTAATCTGTGAGACTTTGGGCGTTGTCAAATGCATCAATCGAAAGGATTTGATCTCCTGAGTCCAAATATAATATTACTTTTCGTCGAAGTTCTCCCCCCCCCAAAATACAACGATAAATTAGATGTAATGGCAAGTTATACAACGTGGATTTTTTAACGGGATAATTCTGATAAGATAAGTTTATTACTTCTAGAATGTAACGGCCTCGAAATATTAAACTAATGGATAATTGGAGATGAATCTTTTGAAGTATCGACATTTCTTTTACACGGCTATGAAACCCGATAATTGGTACAGAATTTTAATTGTTGTTATCAGCTTGTCTTACTACACAATGATTTTGAATTCACAGGTACAGGAAAGAAAAACTGTCATTTAACAACAACTTTTGTAACTTGACTTGTTTCCCGTTTTTGTCATTTCTCCGAAAGGGGGCCGAAGATCACTTGGAGGGGTCACCTGTTTTAACTACTCAGTCAGGCAGTAAACACTAAAATGACGTCACATATGGGACGCTTAACGTTGCAATTTGTACTGTCGTGACGTCAGTAAAATGTGCGCATTCCATGAATCCCGAGAAGAATTATGCACTCTGTAGGCTACAACACAGCATGATATATGAACTTCAAAGGCAAGAGATTAAAAATATTTGTTACTATTAACTTTGGTTTTATTTAATCTTGAAACAGAACAAGTTCGGGGATCCCGCGGAAGTAAAGCTAGTATAGTTTAGTTGATATAAGCCAAAAACTTCATCTTATGGATTATTTAGGCAGATGATTTAGGACAAAACAAAGCGAAGGTGAAATGGTCGACATTTGTCTTTCATGGAAGGCTATCGAACCATCGTCCACTCTACTTGTGCTATTTTTGGAAATCTTTAGTCCTGTAAAGCCTTCTCTATAGTTTTCATTGTCATTCAGACAGTTTTTCGTTTCATAAACAAGTTGATACGATGTTAGTATTCAGCATAGTCCTTCACTAGCTATTAGTTATCAGCTTGTTTGCATTTCTTCCAAGTTGATGTTATATATTTTGACATAAATCAACAATTTGCTATTATGATTGTATTAACACAGTCCTTCAGCTGTTGACGATACAAACCAATAGTTTGCTGTTATGATTGTATTAACACAGTCCTTCAGCTGTTGACGATACAAACCAACAGTTTGCTACTATGATTGTATTAACACAGTCCTTCAGCTGTTGACGATATAAACCAATAGCTTGCTGTTATGAATGTATTAACACAGTCCTTTAGCTGTTGACGATATAAACCAACAGTTTGCTGTTATGAATGTATTAACACAGTCCTTTAGCTGTTGACGATATAAACCAACAGTTTGCTACTATGATTGTATTAACACAGCCCTTCAGCAATTGACGATATAAGCTAACAGTTCCCTGCTATGATTGTATTAACACAGTTCTTCAGCAATTGACGATATAAGCCAACAGTTCTATGATTGTATTAACACAGTCCTTCAGCAGTTGACGATATAAACCAATAGTTTGCTATTATGATTGTATTAACACAGTCCTTCAGCAATTGACGATATAAGCCAACTTTCGTACCTGTTCAGTAGTATGTAAAAAGTGAAATAGGATCGTAAAATTAATAAAACTTATCAGCAGATGATTTTTTTTTTTACCCAAAAGATTACCCTCTTGCTGGCATCATCATATGAATGTTAATGCTAAGTGACAAACTTTTTCACAGCTCGAGAATGGCCAATGGTATAGAGTAATCAAATGTAAGACGCATGTTTTACGTTTTGTAGAAGCGAAATATTCGGTGTCAAGGTCAAAGGCGGTGGTGTTACTTGAAACAAAACGCTTATCATATGTTTAAAAGGTCAAAGTTAATTAAGTTGTAGATTTTCATTCTGCAAATATTAGTGTAAAAGAAGGACGATTTTTCAGCATAAATAATAATAAGTTATAAAGGAAACCTCTAGGAATCTCTTTATTTCTTAAGTGTAACTAATTCGTGGTATAGTTCAATAATGATATTTGATCACTCAGATAAATTCTATATAAGTGGTATAATCTGAGTAAATAAGCATTTTCTTAAAGAAAAAATGTCGCGATAGAAAGTTCAAGTGGAACGTTTAATGAAATAATTATGACTAAAATAAGGTTAATCGTTTAGTCAGCTTATCGAGGTACAGGAAAACAGATGCGTCTACGAAATCAAATGTGCCCACCGTTGTTTGGTTTGACCTTTTAGGTTTGAATTTACCGTTTCTTTATGGTTTTTGCACTTTGCATGCAAGCATTTTGAAATAATGTTTCGTAGTTTGTACATGATATAACGATATATATTTTAATGACCTATGTTATCAGCTATGTTCTGTAAATCATCGAAGTAATGGTTACAGAGAACAACTTTGGAATAGCAGAGCGTTGGGTAAGTCGTTAAGTATCATTGTGGTTGCAGCACACTTGATCATTTAGACAGACAGCCAACTTGAATTTCTAGAGAAACTAGTAATGTTTCATCATGTTCGTTCTACGAAGTTGGTTCGTTCGTATTATACACGGCGTGGTCACAAGTAAATAGACACCACCTTTTCAGAAAAAATGAAAATTTTCAGTCATGTGCACATGAATTGATATATTTATAAT